AGATGGATAAAGGGGGGGGCAGGGGTTTTCGTCAATAAAGTGAAGACGTCAGTGAGTGATGTCCATTTCGAATAAACTAGTACAACTTTGGGGACCTGGCAGTCAGTGAGCTGGGCAGACGCAAAAGATAACCATTACGGAAATTCGGTGTTATGCCTAAAATTCACTAGAAATCCACTTGAGATGCCGCATGCGACCAGAGATAGGCGTCCGCAGTTTATTCAGAAAACAGAGATTTAATCAAGGTGACGGTGAGGCGGCAGTTTACATGCTTCTATGGCCTTGAGAAATAGCGCCTCGATTGAAATGCAGACAGGGACTAGAACCAAGTGAAATCAGTCAACCAGAAAGATAGGGAACGGATCTACGAGACAATGAGGGGATCCGGATTGGAGGCCAGAGTTGGATCAACCGATTTAAAGAGAGGGGTCGGGGTAAATAGCAAGTGTGATAAGGCCAAACTAGATTTGCCACAAAACGGCACACATTTTAACGAGTGGAATAAGACAATTGAGAAGTTGTGATAGGGCGGGAGGGTAAATAGTAGATAGATAGACCAGGACAGAAAGAGGAGGGATAGTGTAACCGTTTTCTGCAGAACGTTTTTCGAGGGATTGACTTCACTTGTCTCTTTGACGAGTTCGTAGCTTGGTGCGGAGAATGGCAAAGTTCACTGATGTTGCCGACTACGATGCCGGCGAAATGTTTGAGAATGTACCAAGTCCACTCTCTGATGCTGGGGATCATGACAACTATTATGACAGACGACTTCGGACTAAGTGCGCTATACTAAGTCGCCCTGACAACCAGACCAATTTGCGGCAAGTTCAACCCACTTCTATAAATTGAAAGCATACTGCGACCATACCTGAGGCCACAACATCTTGGTCTTCAGATCTTGCTTATTTAAACCTAGTTTAAGTGTGCCCTTATGAAATGATTTTGTAAAACCTATTTATACTCCCTGTTGTTTCCACATTTCATCACTGTGCCAGGAATGTTCATCCTACTCTGTCATTTTAGTCCGCTATCCTCTTCCTCTAGGTCCTATCAGAGACTTCCTCTTGCCCCAAAGGATCAGTCTCTTATCGTCCTGGCTCATGGATTTCAAGCGACCACTGCCACCTTATCTGTGCTACGCGAACTATTGTTTACCAAATTCTGCCTCAAGCCTTTGATAGCGCGTATACCCTCGCCTCACTGAGCCAGTCCCCAACGTCG